GGCTTATGAGCGGTTATGTTACTTAAAGTTATGAATGACGAGTCGAGACAAGTATTTCATTGTAAAAGGTACGCTTCGGCAATTGGTTATGATTTGCATTTTTGATGGTAGCTCTCAAGAAAATAGGGTGCCTTCCGGAAAATCGTCTTTCGGGCGCTACTTTTAAAGAAACCACAAAATATAGATATCCCAGTAAGGCTAAGGTGTGTGAGGCTTTTCGAGTAGAGGTAATGACATACGCAAGAAAGATTTCGATGAAAATATTTCGAATTTCGGAATATTATTACGTTATATCTTTGTGCGTAAATATCTGACGAATATTCGGGCCTATTTTCCTGAAAATCCAAGAAAATCAACATAACCTAAATTATGCGTTATAATAGAGGCAACACACGTTAGAACATACCTCGGGTGCGTGGTATCTGAAGAAATCAGTCACAGTTTTTGCTAGTCCCACAAGTGAGATAGTGGACCGTAAGATAATAATAGTTCTCTCGCTGGAAGAGGTGTGGCGGTGGCACAGCGCGTCCATTACATTACGCATGCGCGTTTGCGTCTATTTTCTTGGATATTTTCAGCGGTCTTTTCCTGGGCGATTTACAACTGTTCTGAAATGTTTTTCGGAGAGGGATGAAATAGTATGTCAAGTTTACCACCATTTCAAACTCTGCGGATGACTCGAGGTTATTTTAATAATTAAAGTGCGAACAAAACGGAAAAAAAGGCCGAAGACTTGAAGTTTGAGATTTGATTTGCTGACAATCGAGATGTGCATATGAGACTACAAATCTTCAAGGTTAGTCTTAAGATGTTAATGTCTTACTTCTATGAATCACGAAGTTGTATGTGGGGATGATCGTGAGATATTCGTTACGATAATAGAATGTAGTTCAGAATTTATGTAACTTTCTCTGGTTCTTAAAATATGAGACGAGCGATACAACAATAGGATAATTACTCAAGGGGCTGGAACTCCTTGTTTCTTTAGAATGTTAATTACAGTATTTCTGTCATATTTGAAAACGAATTTAAGGCCAAAGTGTCTTCAAACCAGTTTGACTTGCATTTAACTTTGTCAGAGATGTCTTGATCCTTCAATTTTTTTTATTATTTGAGACTGATGATAGGAATTAACTTGTATGTACTCGGCTGTTTAGGAAGATATAAAGTGACCCCACTACACATAGTTGATACTTTTGCCAGAATGGATAGATGCGACATTTACTGTGGCAAGCTGGTATTCAAGAGATTGTCATTAGTTCCAGAAGCTTAAATTATCAATCTTTTGTTCTCTCTAGGAAACTTGCCTTGATTAGCCTATGCTACATGCAACTGTAAAATTACCAATAAAGTCTTTGAAAGTTTTGTCCAAATTTCATTGGAAAAAAATATGAAGAGTTATCAGATGAAATATTGTTATGTTCCCTAGGAGTGTTTGAGCTTCCGGTGAGAGCTATAAAATTTCTTAAGTGTCTGAGATATGATTTGTCTGCCATAAAATTGGCACAGCTAAACCCCTGACTTGAAAACTATAAATTTCCTTAAATAGGCATCCAAGCTGATGCCCATTACCACAGAATATACTATGTCAAAGTCCCCTTTTGAGATATGTCTCATTTCTCTAAAATCTGATAGATGTAATTCATCTTTTTTCCTAAAGAGATCTACGAACCTCCCCACATTAGTTTAATCTGACCTCATTTAGTCTTGTTCCCAGGAAAAAAAAGATTTGGAAATATTTTGTTTGTTATCTTCACTGTTAAATATCAGCCCTACTGGTTCTTTGTTGTTTAGCATGTAATAAGAGTCTTATCAGACCATAGAATAGTCACATAACTCTTGTAATTTAAGGGTTTAGAGAATAAGGTTGCAAAGAGTGTATACAATTTTTTGTTGTGCAATTGAAATGATAAAATGAATATGATTTTGATTGGGAAATAATTGATTTATTTAACTATTCATATTACAACTGGAAGCCCAAACTAGTACTTGTTTTAATTCACAGTTTCTCTACATCATTGATCATATCTGATGATATTTCTAAGACTAATGATTGAAAAGACTTTTCCTTACTCCATTAAAATCCATAATTATTCCTCCATTTCCAACAAGCTCTTTGGTGTAACAACCATATCTCTGGTACTAGCATTGTCTTACTTTTCTTTACTCGACATTGACCCTTTTTGTTTTGGTAATCAGCCCTGCTGGTTGGGATTCGCATCAAAACATTGAAACAAAACATAAACTTATGTAAACTTTAATTTCTTGCTAAAATTGGAAGTAAATTGCACTAGCAGTACAGTTGAAACTCTGAAAAACACTCACAGGAGAGTGAGTACTTCAAATGATCAACAATAACCTGAGATAGCAACAACACAATAAAAGTATACTGTCCAATTCGTTTGTGCTCTTTGACAAGCCAATTGTATCCTTCACAAATATCATCTACATCTATTGCCCAAACAATCACAAGAAAACACTCAAAGTCGAAGACACAAGGTTGTCATTTTATACCACAAGTAAAATTTTTATACCACAAGTAAAATTTTATACCAGACCTACATAGTATAAAACAATTTTGTAGGCAGCTGACTCAGAGAAGAACAACAAATAAACTTTAGAGCTGTTATCAATGAAGTGTAACTTACCCTTTTCACTTGAATACAGGGAAGGACTTAATATATTTTGCACCAAAAATAAAAAGAAATAATATTTTTAGGAGATCCAGTGATTGTGACATTTAAGAAATTAAGTTATGAAAAGAAACTTGGTTTGTACTTCTCACTACTAACAAGTCTTGTTTTAAAAATATATTCAGACCAGAGTTTCAAATAAAGTAAAATGAAGAAGTCATTTAAAAGGTGTTATTTCTCAAA